CTGATATGTTTGTAAGTTGTCTAAATTTTAGAACGAGGCTGTATTTCAGTTACCGACAAAAGGGCATTTGCTATTATTTGTTTGGACGGTATAAACAGAAATTGACACCGAGGTGTTATTTTTCTTTTTTTTTTCAGGTGAATAGGCAGATTATTGATTTATAAGGTTTTTTATTTTCGACATATGAGGATGATAGATAGGATAACAGCGGGGTCGCTTTACATGGCTCAATTTTATGGAAAAAACAGAATTGAGATCTGAAAAATGACGAACTCTGAAAACTGACGATAAGCATTTGTAGGAATTATTTCATCAAAATTTGATTATTTTGAAACGTTACACTTCCAAGTCATAGAGGGTGATTTTACTATATTGTTTAGACTTTGGCATTCATTTTGAAGTTATTTATTTAAAAATATTAAAACATTTCCAAATGTTGCTTAAGCTGGTGTATTAAGATAATTTGCTGACGCATTGAACAGAATTGTAGTCACATTTCCGAACAAAGAACCTCATCAAAGAGCTTAAAGTGACCAATGGAATTTTATCATTATCGTCATACGAATATGTTGATATTCACATAATTTGATGCAAAAAATATTAATTAATTATTCATTATTTTTATTATTATCAACTACTACCGAAATCCTTAATGGATTTCATCGGTTCAGCTGCACAATAGTATTTCACAAATACGCGTACATACCTATACTTCATACTTACAGAAAAAAAATGTCTTTACATTGACTAGATACGTCGCAGGCCTACTGACGAGGAAGTATCATTATATAAAATTTCGAAAATGAGACATTAACTTCTTTGGATATTATATGGCATGTACAAACTAAGAGTGCGAGGTACTGTGTCTGAGAACCTATCCGTCGTAGAGGCTTGCGACAAAAAAATTCTTACTGGAACGACCAAAAGCAAAACCTGGAAAATATGTTTAAGTTTTGGGAATGACCGCTAGGGAGTGTAACTAAAACTTCTATGGATTTCGCTAATAATGTGAACTTTTCTGTTTGACAATATTTGCTGTATGTCTAAAAATAAGGGAGCTTAAAAAGGAGCTAGGTATTTGAAAAATAAAGATTTTTAATACCCCCGGAAATGCTCGAAATGCTGACCATCAAGCTCTATGCAGGTTCAGATTATCATCGAATTTAAAGATCAGGTATTTTTGAAAAAACTTTGTAGTTTTTGAAAAGTCGGTACAGTTTCGGCGGATAAAAAAGAAATGAATAACAATCGCCCAAACTTCGTTTTTTGATTTTGTTTGAGGTTTTTGGAGGTGGGGGAAGGTTATCTCAATCTTTGATGTAACTATGAATTGAGTACATTATTGATTGCTTGATAAAAAGGAATGCAGTTCAGACAAATACTTATTGGAAACAACTCAAGATGACTGTTTCTCAATTCTCGATGTTCATCTTGACCCAAGAGCCTTTAAGGTGTTTCGATTCCACTTTTTTATTCAATCACATGACAATCAATTAATTCACACCATTTGAACGATTCAATTTCAGCCAGTGATAAATTATAAAAACGAAGGGAGTGACAATCGCAATACAGCAATAGGGATCCAGGGACGGGGTCCAGGTCATTTGAAACAAATGCCGCACTGTCCCTGCTAAAAAAAGAAAGGGTAGGCCGTGGATTTGCATACGGCATTCGATGCGCTTTTCACCATCCCGTTATGACGCTGGGTTCGGGACATATATTAACTTGTAAACAGATGTCTGAAATTATGCGAATCAGATGCTCAGTGAGATGTTAATTGATCCTTTTTTGAACCCTGCTCGGTGGCAATTAGATAGGCTAGCGGAAACTAACCTCGGTTTGGTGGAATTATTTTTTGATTATATATTAGACCTAAGTAAGTAGGTGGTTCTTATAGCAGAGACTAACAGCTCGACAACGCCGATGGGTCAGTATTTAACAGTGTACTGTCTGAAAAGTTCTGGAATCTCACTATAATTTTTGAACTAAAAATGGGGTATGAAAAAACTTAACCCCACTTTTGTTAGGAGTTTTCCCCAGCATACCAATAGTAAACTTGGATTTGACCTTGATTGAAGGTCACGTCGATTTTTTTAAATGGTACCCCTCATTTTTGACACCGTAAATGAAAAGAGCGGAAAATTTTACGTTTAAATAATTATGGTCTTGACCATTCTTGAGTTTTGACCTTAGAAGGACATGTCCAAGGTCAAACCCACGTATGGTAACAAAGCTTGATAACTAGTAGTCGCATAAGGAAACTACCGAGACACTATTTTCATGATTTTTCCCGGATGTCCAATTCAACAAGGTTTTCAAATTTTGGGGTTCGCTTCACGTGAAAATCGAAAAAAGTAACATTTGATTGTCAGTAGTCATCAGTACTGTCAAATTACCACAGTTCATAAAACCTTTAGTTTTTCTAACCCCCCTTATTTGCTATCGCTGGCACAAATAACGTAACGAAATACTTAACGATTCATTATTATTCTTGTTGCACTAAAGACTCTCTACCATGTTTGTAAGAAGACAGGTGTTAGATAGATGGATAGATAGATGCTTTATTGTCTTCGGATCAGAGGTCTGATATAAGACTCGTCAGACATGTCTCTATAGGTACATTATTATCTACAAAACATGAAAATATATTTAAGTATAAATACAAAAAAAAAATCGAAAAAGCAGCGGGTTAGTGGAAAAGACAAAGGATGCATGTGCGCACAAATGACAAGATACACTAAACAAGCAGATACACAAAAAAAAAACGGAACAAGGTGTATAAGAAGTAAGTAGAATAACAATAGAAAAAATAAAAGGTATTTCCTATTTAATTTTATTTAGGTGCATCGCTCTTACGCTGAAAGAAACCCAGCTACTGAGTAGTAGCATTTTTCTATTTTAACAGATTCATCAGCTCTTTCTTGAACCTATTCGGGCATCTAATATCTTTTAGTATTGATGGCAACTTATTGAATACCTTGGTCAGGCGTAGGCTGGTAATTATTCGAACATTGACAATGTATGCTTTGCTCTACTGTTGTAGTCCTTGTTCTGCAGAAACTGGTCCCTGTGATTGAAAGTGTAGAGAGCGTATTTATAAATATATATATATATACAGGGTGTCCGCAAAGTTGGGGTTTTCCTTTTCAGAAACAACTACCCTTGAAATAACAAAGGTAATGTGTAGTGAAACGAGGGCGACCAAGTAAACAAAAAATAAAGGAAAAAGTACTCACTCTCCAGTTGACGAGAAGGGCTAAGTACGTCTCTGCCCGAAATCATACCGCTCCAACAGAAAATGAAATCAGCTGATGCGCTACCGAGCAGACGCAGGCAAACAAGGAAGGTAAAATGTTGCGTAAATAGTCTAGGTATTGCATCCCGTCCAATCGATTTGGGAGAATAAATGGTCCAATGAGCATACCGTTCACCATCCCAGCCCAAACATTCACCGAAAATGTTTGTTGAAAATGTGCCCGACGGACAGCGTGCGGATTTTCTACTGACCAAACATGAGTGTTGCGAAAGTTATTCACCCCATTACGCGTGAACGTAGATTCGTATGTCACCAATATGAATATGAACTTCAAAAAGTCTGGATTATTGTCATGTTGATGCAACAACCACTCACAAAACCGCACTCTTGCTGGAAAGTCGTCAGGTTGAAGGGCTTGTAAACGTTGGACGTGAAACGAATACAGCCCCTCTTCACGCAGCATTTGCCACACTTTAGTTTTTGATACTTGCACTTCTCTAGCCTCGTCTCTAGTGCTTGTTGAGGGATTCTCGTCTACGCGATTACCTCTAGACGCGTGACCGTAACCGTCGGTTGAAGGTTGCATACTGACCTGACACACTGACCCCGACCCAGTTCTGCCGTCGGGTTGAGACCTTGTACCAATCGGTGATGTCCCGGGTTGCGGCTACAGGACGGTATTCAGATATTTTTGATGTTGCAGAGCCTTTTATCTCGGTTCCCTTAAGACATTGGTGTATATGGTACTAAGAAAAATTGCTTATGTTTTCAAGATCTACAGTCCTGTAAAGGAAAACCCCACCTTTGCGAACACCCTGTATATATATTCGGAAGCGTTAGCAAGTTATTATGCTGAAATATTGCTTTACATGATTCTCTCCTTTTAATGTTAAATATCAGCTTTACAATACGTTTCTGCAAAATAATCACTCTGGACGAGGTGCATGCTTGTCCCCAAACGATGGTGTGATTTGGCAGGTGCAAATACACCATTGCGTGGTACACATCTATCAGCTTTAATTTCTATATCGCATAATAGGACCTATTCAGTTTCCTGCATACACTGTCAACTTGTTGCTTGCAATTTAATCCTGCATCCAACTCAATACCCATGCAGGTCGTGGAGTCTGAGATTGTACTGTTAATAAGACGTAGAGAACTAGAGTAAAAGTGTCAGTGTCAGTATTCAAGATCAGGCGATTTGTTTAGTAACTCCTCTCAGCTTTATCAATTCTATAAATTATGTTTTATTATCAGAAGAATCGGATGCTTCTCATCATAACCCAAATACCAAATAAAGAGAAAAGGGTAGTGAGTAAAAGCAAGAGTGACACACACCGCAAATATACACTCGTACGTACCAAATTACTATTTAATCTGCCAGCAAATATTGACCTAAAGCCTTAGTGCGAAGGGAAGCAAAACAGTTGCGAAACGCATGTTGCACGTGTTGCTGTTTCCTTGATGTCGCTTTGATGACAGGTTATGGTTGCCGTAATTTGGCTGTTGTTATTTTCTTTGGGTTATCAAGGAAACCTTTATGAATGGACTGACGTGAGGGTGGTCTAAGTAATGTTGCTTAGAAATTTAGAAATTGAAATCTAATTGCGAAATAACAATTTAAAAGAATGTGTGCTGCTAAGTATAGTTTTCAATGTCACTTCTAATGTTACAGACTTAGATGGAAAAAATAACGTCCTTGAATTGCCTGAAATGATAAAGTAAAATAATGTCAAATATTTACCTTGGCGGTCCATGGCAGCGAGAAGAAACACCGTGATGTCCGTGATGCCCATGGAGATTGTTGGCCATCCTCAACTGGAAACAATTATCATTTTGTATTATACCTACCTATCGGTATATAAGATTTTATACAGATATTTTCACTAGACCTCGTGAACTATACAGGGTGTCCCAGAATATGCGAATCAAATTGCAATGGGAGATACCTTAGATAATGACCTCTCAATTGTGGTACAGACCTGACAAAAAAAAACGTGTAACCTTTGCGTTAAAACCAAAATTATGACTTTCGTCAATTCGACGACAGTGCCGCGTTTAGGGTTTATTTTCATTTTTTTTCACTATTATTATTAGCGAATGATTGAAGCATGAAACTACAAACAGTCACGTAATTTTGAAATCGCAGCGCTATTTTGGAATTTTTTTTCTGCATCAAAAAGTTTCTTGTAAGTTCGACTAACAGTGGTATAAGAAAAATGTATGGGACTTGTTTGACAAACCTCTCCGAAAAATAGCCCAGTTAATGAAGATTCGAGAATGGTACAAATCAGGTAATTTACCTCAACAGAGTAGGAGAATAAAAATTCTTAGAGTGCAAATGCGAAATTGGTAAAATTTCAAAATTACAATTTTTAAATCATAATTGCCTGTACGTTCAAACCATTGCGTGAATCCTTAGAATCGGAATCAAAAAGTTGTTTTAATGTCCGGTAGACTGAACAAAACACATGCTAGCTCGCTCAAGGTCGGCTAAAATTACACTGCTCAACAGCCAAAAAATATCCTAAATAAAATCAACAAAATATTACTATTTTTAATGTGCTAAAACCGGAATGAAACAAATATATATGTGTTCCTGCTGTGACAGTGTTAATATACTGTAATTCACAAGAATGCACGTGCTACATTTTTATATTCGGCAAGGAAAGATTATGTAATCGGCATGATTGTGTTACGTTATACATACGTGTACATTATATTGTTTTATATTAGCCATTTTTTCCTCAGTTGGCTGACAGCGTTCATGCAAGATGTCTCGAAAGTGTGTAAACAATCCAGATCAGTTTTGTTACGTGTGTGGTGATGTGACTTTTGCGTCTCAGAGACAGTCTATTACTCCACTAATAACAAAGGCATATCAGCTTTATTTCGGTTGTAAACTAGGTGATCAAGACAAACAGTGGGCACCCCACATCTGCTGTAATACATGCGCTTCAAGTCTGAGGAGCTAGTTAAATGGCAAAAAACGGTCTATACGCTTTGCTGTCCCAATGGTTTGGAGATAGCCTACAAATCATATTAATTATTGTTACTTTTGCATGGTACCTTGTGTTGGACCAGCCACAGGTATGTCCAAGAAAAAAAAATCGGTTATTAACTACCCAAACATACCATCTGCGATGAGACTTGTGCCTCACAGTGACGAAAATCCTATTCCAAAACCCCCAGAATCCTACACTTGCGAATCCGAAAACGAATCAGATCATGGCGATCGAGTGATTCGTCAGGAAGAAGATATGCCATCAACGTCAAGAGATCCTGATTTTATACCGAGCACGTCATGCCACCAACCGCACAAAATAACACAGTCAATTAAATGATCTTGTAAGAGATTTAGAACTTCCAAAATGTAAGGCAGAGTTACTTGGATCAAGACTGCAGCAGTGGAACTTGTTAGAAGACGATGTTACGGTATGTGTTTTTCGTAAACGCCACAAAGACTTAGAACCATTTTTCAATATGGAGAATAACTTGGTTTTCTGCAGTAACATTAACGGCTTACTGGCGGCTTTAAATATAAACTATAACCCAGAAGAATTGAGATTGTTTATAGACAGTTCAACATTGAGTTTAAAGGCAGTGTTATTGCATATTGGAAATATTTTACCATCTCTTCCTATAGGGTATGCAGTTCACATGAAAGAATCATATGACAAAATGAAGTACCTATTGACATGCATAAAATACGATGAGCACCAATGGCATATTTGTGGCGATTTGAAAGTTGTTGCACTTTTACTTGGGCTGCAGCTAGACTACACAAAGTTTTGCTGTTTTTTGTGTGAATGGGACAGTCGGGCAAAGGCACTTCATTACACCAGACAAAACTGGCCTGTTCGTCAATTCCTAGAGCCAGGTCAAAAAAATGTACAGCATATGCCATTAGTAAATTCGAAAAAAATTTTATTACCACCACTGCATATCAAGTTAGGCCTAATGAAAAACTTTGTCAAGGCATTAGATAGAGATGGGTCAGCTTTTCAATACCTGCGTCAGAAATTTCCAAGACTAAGTGAGGCAAAGGTTAAAGAAGGTATTTTTGTTGGGCCACAGATTCGAAATATTTTGAAAGATACACAGTTTGAAAACACTTTAACAGGTATTGAAAAAACTGCTTGGAATGATTTCCGTCTGGTGGTCACTAATTTCTTGGGAAATAGAAAAGCTGACAACTATAAAGCCCTTGTCAAAAATATGCTGTCCTCGTATCAAAAGATAATATCTCTTAAGATACATTTCCTACACTCACACCTGGACTTTTTTGCTGACAAGTGCGGAGCCGTAAGTGATGAGCACGGCGAACGTTTTCATCAGGATATTTCAACAATGGAAAAAAGGTACCAGGGAAAGTGGAATCCTTCCATGCTTGCAGACTACTGTTGGACTCTTGGTAGAGATGCTCCAGAAACGATCCATAAAAGAACAGCAAAAAGACAGCGCATATAGTGATTCTTATAAATGAATCTTGTTACTTTTTTTAATATATCCTTAAAAAAATAAAAAGTTTTTTTTCTAAACCGCAACTAATTTTTTTATTTCGTTGTCATTTTTGGATTCAGCGCCCCAAAATTAACAAATAAGTGCACTTTTCCCACAAGATACAATTAAAAAACTAAAATTTGCTGTCCAGTGTTATTTGTGTTGTAGCACTTATTCCCAGAATTTAAGCAGGGGGGCAGGGGCAGGCAGCGCAGGTAAAAACTGGATCGCGATAACAATACTGCCTCAATCTAGCTTTTTGTGTTATTAGTGATGTTGACGGAAAGGGGCCCCCCGCGGCGGCGCGATGCTGATCTCACTCTCATCCTTTTTATTCAGTACGACGTTTGACGCTCTGTGCTACACCTGTGTTCTAATGTCTCCTGTGATTTAACTGTTACGATTTTGGCTCTACTGTAGACTTTGAACATTTTTTGCTCGTGATTCGGATTTGTTTGATGAATCTCAACGACTTGGCGCTACTGTGGAAATTGATTTTCTGCACATTATGGCTAATCGACGATCAGGTGAACATTGTTACACGGCAAGCGAGTATGCTGAGATGCATCTTGTTTATGGAGAAACAAGGCGTGTTAACACTAGAGGTGGAGCAAGTTATTCTGCCAGGAAGCTGCCAGGATTTACGCTGAGCGGTATCCGAACCGTCAGCACCCAGCTTATGGAGTATTTTTAAGAGTACACAACGCTTACTCACAGGGTCGATTTCCTGGTGGTCCTCGTAGGGAAGGAAGACCTCGGAGACATAACGACGATGTTGTAGAGCACGTAACAATGGATCCGTCGACGTCGCTGCGCGCTATTGAACGAAGAACTGGCATTCCAAGATCATCGGCACACCGAATACTGCATACGTTAAGATACCATCCGTATCACGTGCAAAAAGTGCAGTCTCTTTTAAATAGAGATTATGCACCGCGTGTACAATTTTGCCGAAAAATGATCGAGCTAAGCCGAGAAGACCCCAACTTTTTTAATCGAGTTTTGTGGAATGAAACAGCCGCGCAGGCAGAAACCTAAATGCCGGAACACCGCGGCTGCTATGATGATCCCAAAGAAATTTTGTTAATACGATTTTTGAACTGCCTAAGGTTGGTAGAACTGGGAAAAGCTTCCGCCCGTAGATTGTTCCACAATCTAGACACCTTCGGGACAAAGGAGCGGTCGTATCGGCCAGTTCTGGATGTACGAAGTTTGACACGGTTAGCATGGGACGCCGAAGTCAGGACCGCCCTCCTCTGGACAGCATCGAGCATGGACAATGTAGTCGGGGCGGCAGCACCCCAAATGTATGAGCAATACTCGAGGCTAGGCCTTATCTGGGCCTTGTACAGAGTGAGAAGGTCATGCGGAGAAAAGTACTTCTTAGCCCTAAACAAATAGCCTAGCTTTTTCCTAGCAGCTGCAGCTGTTGAAGAGATGTGTTCGTGCCAGATCAGGTCCTCGGTGATCTGGACTCCGACCAGCCGAAATGAATGGCTCTTTGGTAGAACTCGACCGTCCATCGAAACTGTATGTGCGCTAGGACGCTTTTTGTTCGTCAAAGTACAGTACTGTGTTTTGGAAGCATTGAACTGTACAAGATTGTTGCGTCCCCAAGCAGTGATAGCCTCCAGGTCTCTTGTCAGAGAAGAAGTCGTCGCTAGTCTTCTTTTTTCTCAGCTCAGGCAGAGATCGGCTTGTCACTCTGAATTCCTGCATGTAGAGTGCTGTCATCAGCGAAGCTGTGGATTGGGTTGATCGTGCAGGAAAGGAGGTCGTTGATATGTAAGAGAAACAGTGTTGGAGCCAAGACCGATCCCTGGGGAACACCCGCGTTGACGTTGTGGGATGAAGAGGAGAATCCGTCAATTACGACGGATATCTTGCGGCCAGAGATAGAGTCAGCCACCCATCTGCAAAGCTTTTCTGGGAGACCGTAGGATGGAAGTTTGCTTAAGAGGGCAGCGTGCCACAGCTGATCGAACGCTTTCGTGATGTCAAGAGCAACGACATGAGCCTCACCATGAGACTGGATGAGTGTACTCCACAGTTGCGTGACGTAAGCTAGGAGGTTCCCTGTGGATCGTTGGTGCCGGAAACCGTACTGCCTGTCGCTAATCAAGCTGTGACGTTCGAGGTAGTCCAGAAGCTCGCGATTTATGCACCTCTCCATCACTTTACTTATGACAGAAAGCAGAGCTATAGGCCTGTAGTTGTAAGGGTCGGTCTTAGATCCTTTTTTTGGGATGGGCTGTACATGAGCAAATTTCCAGTTTTCTGGGAAGGTGCCGGATTCATAAGATATCTGGAAGAGACGCGAAAGAACTGGAGCAAGCTCCGCTGCACATCTCTTCAGTACAATGGCAGGAATCTAGTCCGGACCAGAAGCTTTGTTGATGTCGAGCGACAAGAGCACTGGTCTTACGATCTTATGCCTGAATGTTACCTCCCGCATAGTGTGGGGAACCCTTTGAATTGACGGCACTTGGGCGTTGGTGGGGACGTCCATGGTGGAGTTGGCAGCAAAGATCTTGGCTAGCACTTCCGCCTTGGCCTTTGAGTCGAATACAATAGTTCCATCCTGCCACGTAAGTGGTGGAAGGCTACTGTGTGAGAAGTTCTTTTCAATCTGCTTGGCCAGCGTCCAGAAAGACCGACTGCCATTGCGCTGCGACATTACCCTGTGCCTAACTTTTATATCATGGTGGTTTTTGGCAATGCGAACCGCTTCGTTATATTTGTTTCTGGACTCGACGTCGGATTGTCTGTTCTCTACAGTGGGGTCTTGTAAGTAGGTTCTGTGGGCCTTGATCTTCTGCTGGCGAGCAGTGTCACACGATTTGTTGAACCAGCCGTTGGACCCTGGTTTAGGAACTTTCACTGTGTGAGGGATGTATTCCTCCATTCCGACGTGGATAATTTCGGTTATTGAAGAACAGACAGTCGACGCATCCGCGTCAGTGAAACAGACATCTCTCCAAGGAAAGCTAGAGAAGAAGTCTCTGAGCCCCTCCCAGTCGGCATGTCCGTAATGCCAAGTTTTGCGGCCTGTGCGAGTTTCTGCTGCCACAGCGGCTTCTGACCGAAACCTAACCTCCACAACACCGTGATCTGAGTTACCCAGGCGGGACAGGACAGCAGTGCTGTAAGGGACAGGATGCGTGGTCAGAAAGAGATCCAGCAGGCTACTGGCGTGTGACGAGATGCGGGGGAAAAAAGTAGGGCTCGTCATCAGTTGGGTCAGCCCTTGAGTAAAAGCGAACGCTTCGACTGCACGACCTGTTGCATCGGTCTTATTTGAGCCCAACCAAAGCTCGTTATGGTCATTGAAATCACCGAGAAGAACTACCTCTGAAGCGGGGTGATTGATGTTCAGGAAGTCGATCTGGACGGCGAGGTATTCGAGTAGGTCATCCCAGTTATGGTTCAAGGGAGAGCGATAAAGGCAGCAAATAAATTTGGGTGATGTTTTGGAGTTGAGGCGAAGCTACAGAATGTCCTTCCGGTCTGATTCCAAAGAAAGATCCCTGGAGCAGGAAAGACTGCTGCGGGCAAAAGCCACAACTCCCCCGTTCTTTCTTAGATTGGAGTGCACCTCGTAGTTTGGGAAGTTGAGATGGTTAATCGGTGCAGTCTCTGAGATTTTTTCTCCGCCAAGAAAAGCACGGCGGGACGATTGGATTGGAGGTAGTGATGAACAGCATCAATGTTGCTGTTGATCCCGCAGATGTTCGAAAAACAAATTTTATCTTCGATGTTGTTCCCTCGAGCCCACCCTCCACCCTGTAAGAAAGATGGCTACACAAATCTCCACAATCTACATAGCTGTCAAATATCAAACCCTCATTTAATAAGAGAGGACCGTTCTCAGTACCCGTTCAAAATCAATTTATGGACTGGGCAGAATTGTGGGCCCAGTGGAATTACCTGCAACATTAAATTCGGCAAATTATTTAGAATTATTGAGAGACACATTGCCGAGACTTTTAGCAGAAGAACCAGAGGATTCAATACAAACAATGTGGCTACAAAATGACGGATGCCCAGCCCATTTTGCACGTGAAGTGAGGGCCTACCTTGATGAGGCTTTTCCTAGGCGGTGGATTGGCCGTCCGGGGCCAATTCTATGGCCACCAAGGTCGCCAGACCTAAACCCTCTAGATTTCATTTATTGGGGTAAGTTAAAATTTATTCGCGACCGAACACACCGATTGGATCCCTGGAAGAATTAAGAGAGCGTATTAACCAGGCTGCACAACAAATTTCTGTTATGAGCTTGAGGCGCCTAAAACAAATTTTTTTGAGAAGATGTGCATTGTGCACTCGTACTGGTGGCAGACACTTTGAACATCTTTTATGAGAATCGTAATTGGTTACTTCTTTATTGATGTTTTTGGTTGATTAAAGTTGAAAATTGAAAGTACTTTCTGTGTTTTCTTAAGTTTACCTTACATTGAAACACCAGTTTTTGATTCTTATACTTTTTTAAACAAGTATTGAGCTGTGTAACAATAGTTTGAACATTCAATCAACGTAAAAAGCAATTATGATTTGAAAAGTGTAATTCTGAAATTCGACCCATTTCGCACTTGCACTTTAAGAATTTTTATTCTCCTAATCTGTTGAGGTAAATTACCTGATTTGTACCATTTTCGAATCTTCATTAACTGGGCTATTTTTCGGAGAGGTTTGCCCATACATTTTTCTTATACCACTGTTAGCCGAACTTACAAGAAACTTTTTGGTGCAGAAAAAAATTCCAAAATAGCGCTGCGATTTCAAAATTACGTAACTTTTAGAATAAAACTGTTTGTAGTTTCATGCTTCAATCATTCGCTAATAATAATAGTGAAAAAAAAAATGAAAATAAACCCAACACCTGTCGTCGAAAGTTTGACGAAAGTCATACTTTTTAAAAAAAACTGATTTTTTGTTTTAACGCAAAGGTTACACTTTTTTTTTTGTCAGGTCTTTACCGCAATTGAGAGGTCATTATCTAAGGTATCTTCCATTGCAATTTGATTCACATATTCTGGGACACCCTGTAGACCCTGTTCACAATGACCCAAGTTGCGCCACTGTACTGTCTCATTTTGCCCTTGTAGAGCAATGAAAGGTGGTGGACCTCGAAATTTACATATTCAGCATAACTTTGTGTACAATTTTAGAAATGATGACCACCCTGTATCTCGGATATATGTTCAAGAGATCACTCCCTTCAATACTTCTGAATCTTGCAGCAGAAGATGCTTGAGTAAAGGGTGAATATACCATAGACGAGCATAGAAACTGGCGCATCCAGAACATTACCGCACCGTCTTCAAAATCTTTACTGCTACTGCCGTTTGTTTCTGTAATTAAACTCACGAAACATAAAACAAACTCGTATGTGATTTATTTACATTTCTAAGTCAAAGCACATCCATCCGAATGATTCCTCAAAAGATGCCGCTCGCTCTAAAAAAACGTCTTAGCGCCGGGATCGTCCTAAATACCGATTAAACCCCTCGTTAAGACTGTCATTCTTCCTTTATCCCCCAAAAAAGAAGCTTAGTCCGGTGGAATTAGATTTGTGACAGATAACAGTGCGAGTTCTTAGAGTGATGATGCGGAACCGTTGCAAAAAGTGCTGGGATCTTGAATTTGTATAGTAAGAGACGTTTGTGCCAACACCAAAAAAGAAAGTTTTTGAGTAATAGTAATAGTAATAATTAATTATTAAAATAATTAATTGGGTTTTGACGAACTTTTAACATACTGTGCCAGTGATGGGAGCAGTATGTAAAATACAATCATGAATGCTTGTTCTAATTGTTAGCTTCTTCCATAAACGTAGTGGTGAATGAGTGGTTATAATAAATTTTATAAGCGATTAAAATAAATATTATTTGAACAGGTTATTAATTTTAAGCCACCCTCAATCTTTGATTAATCAATGATTCACATAATCGCTTCTTTGTTTTAAAACTGAGGAAGTGTCTGTTGGTATATAATAGTTTCAGTCCAAAATAGCATTTTTTGATGAAGCTATTGAACATGCGTGTGAAAACGTAGGTCTTCGTCTATGAGTAGACTCAAACTTTTGCATAGATACATGAGTAATAAATTTTAAATCTATATTGCTTATTTGATAATTGGGTTGCTTTTAGATGTCTCCGTTTTCTTTTTTGCAAAATAGTACATTTGATTTTTGAGGATTGAATTTAATGTTATTAATAGCAGAACAGTTATTCATTCTTTCGAGATAAATATTAATTTTAGCCTCAGCCATGTTGAAATTATCAGGTGGAAAGCTTAACAATAATTGAGTATCATCGGCACAACAAGTTACACTCGAGTTTATAATTTTGACGAAATCGAAATATTAAGATCAAGAGTGTCCCGAGGACTGAACCTTGTGGTACCCCTGAAGGAACATTCCGTAAATTTGAAATACTTGTTCCCAGAACCACCTGTTGCTGTCTGTCTTTAAGATTTGACGCTAGGAAACCTAGTGCCAGCTTATCAAGTCCAAGCTAAGTACACTAGTTTTACCTTACTATAGATAATACTGAATAAGCCCATCTATTTAACTATACCCCCCTTCCTACAAAAAAAAATCGTCACAAGGTGCCGACAGTCATGTTTTCCTAGCGAATAGGATTAGGGACATCGATACAAGTAACTAGATCGAGATGATAAACAGACGAAGAAGCGTAATCCTAACAAAGCAGCTGTTTTTTGTTGATAGATGGAGCATGTGACACGAAAATTAGGGAGCGGATGCATAGCCTACCTGGATAAACTGAAGTTCCAACGTTAAATGTTGAGAAATGGACGACGGCGCGAACAAAAGATAGAGGGACGCGCCTACTTAAACTGGAGAGTTCTCGCTAGGAACGTTTAAGGAACATAATGGGTGTAGTGAAATTGATACTAGAGAAACGGACGTACAAAAAGGCAAGGAGAATAGGTATAAAAGGTGCTTCAAACAGCTTTATCGGACGAGGGGCCTCTTCAACAGAAATCAATAGGTGCAGAATCAGTAATGTTTAGTCACTGCCGACTGGCCAATTATCATAAAGGTACTATATGGATTACGTGTTTTCGAACTTTGACACTGAAAGATTTCTAAATAACGAGCTCCATACTCTACTATTTTTGGCATTTCAGATCCATGAACAATGCATATGAAACATAAGTAGTTGAGGGACAATCAACCGGTATGTTGTGACAACAGTTTTGTATAGGTGTTGATGTTTTCCGAGAGCACTTAGTGTTTTCGGGATGATAGGCGAAGGTGACATATCTAGTACATTAAAATACGACAGATAACCTCATGCTCGCTTGTCGTTTTGGGGACTAGACGTCCTGAAAGCAGGAATACCTACCGCAGGCGGTCAAGATATTTCCTGAAGTTACGTTAAAATGGAAACAATGAAGAAAAGCAAAAACTAATGATCTGTCACCTGGGAAACAAAGTAAATTGTCATTAGTTGTCATGTATACTTGAAAAAGGTCACCGTGGTGACCCGAACGATCAGTTAACAGTAACTAAGACATATTATGTAGTTTGATGTTTCAGCAAGCTGATGAGAAAATGAAATTTTGAAAATTTACTCTGAAAGCAGATCAGAACACTGTTTTTCAAACTGAAACAAGAATTAATAAAATAAATTCGTAAAATCATGTATCTCTTAAATCTGCAATTACGTTATGCAAATTTAGATAGTTGTACAACGTATTGAAAATACTCAGGATCTACAAGTTTTGGTGAGAAAAAAATGGGTAGATATTGCAAGGCGTTAACCGTACCCGCAACTTGCTGCAAAGGGGTACAAACAAGAATTCAAAGGGTCATCCTTGATGATCCTGTATCTTTTCACTGCAACTTGTAGAAAAACTTTGGGCTCATGGCCATTGTTGTTCTACAAGTTGATATCTACAAATTATACCACTTTTCTTTTTCTACTCTTCTGTCATAAGTCCTGGCGCAATGACCTGTCATATTTTGTAAGAAAATCTCTGTGTGCAAAGGAGAAAGAAAAGAATGTAAGTGTCATAACTCAGTTTGCAAACACAAGATGCATGGTTTGAGTTATGCCGCTACTGGAAAAAGAGTTACTTTTCCCAAATATTTAAAATTACAATTTTTTCAAACTTTGCTAACATCTGTATTACTGTATTACTAAATGAAATAACACCATAATATCTAGAACTGCAAAACAGACAATCGTATAGACGATAGAGATAAAAAAATTTTGCTAACTATATAATAAACGTCGGCAAAACACTGTTTCGCATGCATTTAAAAAGAAATAAGAAATGTTGTTATTGCGATCTATGGAAGAGTGTTAGTACAGCTGATGACCTTCAAAGTACTACCCTATATATTAAATTACAAATAATAGCTGGATGTTATAGCCTTTGTGGCGACTAACACCCATTAAATTCATCACCTTTTTTCATGCTTTTCAGTTGCCCTAGGTCTCTAAACCACTTTTTTTAATGTACTCGATTATTTTTAATTTTGATGTTCCACTAAAAATTCTCTCAGCAAAGGTTTTGTGTCCCTAGAAGAGAAGCCTCACTTTCCCCCAAGAATATAAGCTCTCTTGCAAAACCCATATTTTTCTGCAACAGGATGCTTCTGAAAGACACATGTATCACAAGACAAATAAATATGAAAATCACGAATTCAAAATAGCTGCTAATAGAAGATTGGATAACAAATCTCGCAAATTGTGAAATAGTAAGACTCACTTATTCATATTAAAACTAATAATCGAATCAATATTTTGCGATTATATAAGAAATTAAAAAAGGAGTAAAAAAATCACTTATACGTCGTTATCACTGAATAAATCCAAAATATGTGATCCTACATCTGATATACTCGTAAGTTGTAAGGAACATTAAATTGTTTACAGCCACCCACAAAGTCGCTATCAATTTGTAGCTTTTTGACTTTATTCGCTGAAGTTATGTAAAAATCGTGAATACATTACTATTTATCCCTAGTTAACGTGATCTATTCACAGAAGTAGTGGTTCATATTGTGAAATTAAGCAAATCCGTTTCAAAGAGAAACAGGTATACGTTCTCAGGATCCCATACAATCATTCCGTCTTGAACTAATTACTATTCCTTATCCTATACAATTATCCAAATCCCAATACACAGCCCTTGCAGGTGCATTTTAATGCCCAGCATTAACAACTAAATCCGATTAAGCAGCAAAGCGAATAATGCTCAATAAAAATCGAAACGGTAATGCATCCCCAAGGACAAGAGAAAAATCTGCGTGGGAGACACAACTTGGACAAACAGATTGCCATCGCCTTGAGCCAGGAGCGAAGCCTGGTAGCAGCGTTTTATAAGGGTTGGGGGTCGTAGGGGCTCAATCGCTCATTATACGCTTTGACGCTCTTCTAGAGTAAATAGTAGAAAGGGAGGAGAGTGTTTGGTGATTAGAAATTTTCTTTGTTGCAAATGCATAGTTATTATGTATACGGTAGGAGGGTGGATTCTTTAGTTATTCGGGAATGTGTAAATATTCAATGTCACGATCATAATAGAACGATTTTTTGTCAGCTGAAAATACTGAGCATTGTCATTCGACGTGAGGGAACTTAGTGAGAATTTTCTGAAACGAGTTTTGGCTAAAATCAGTATAAATGCGGTAAAAACTCCTCATAGATTGGCATGAGATAGCGCAACGCGCCATCTATCGCACCAGATTCGAACTATTGTGGATTGCGCACCGCTGCTATTAGTCGGAACTGTCATGGATCTCAGTTCAAGCGAGAACATCTCCAGCTGTTGACAGAGGAGTCGAGAGTTGCGCGAAACAGAGCATCGTTAGCTCTGAAGAACGCACTCGCGGAACTCCAAAACAACAGATGGAATGCAGCCTGTGCAGAACTAGAGACCCAGGATGGTACGGCCTGGTCTATGCAGCGAAAATTTCGTCGTCAGCGCACCAAGATCCCCACTCTTCACGGCCAACGCGGTTTGGCCTACTCCAGTGAAGAAAAAGCCGAAGCATTCGCCGATTCGCTAGAATCCGAATGCAGACTCAATTACCATGAAGACGAGGACGACAACCACGAGGAGGCCGTGGAAGTCGCAGCCGAAAACATGAGGAGTCGACCACCTGGCCAGGAGACGGATCACCCCTCCAGTCCAGAGGAAATCCGTCTGATCATCCGCAGGTTGAAGATCAGAAAGGCGCCGGGAAGGGACGGCATCAACAATAGGATGCTGAAGAACCTTCCCACCAAAGGCATTGCTGCGCTCACCAACATCGCCAATGCCACTCTGAGACTTAACCACTTCCCGCGGCGGTGGCGGGAAGCCCAGGTTATAATGC